TGATGTGCCTATGGTCGAGGCGACCAGAAGAGCTAGAAACAGAACCTTATATCTCCCTCGACACCCACAGAGGTAAAAAAGAAGTGAAGAAGAAGAGGAAGAAAATGGGTAAACAGCTAGACAGTATAATATATGAATAAACAGTCAGACAGTAAAACAAGTGGATAAACAGCTAGACAGTAAAACAGAGAATAAACAGCTAGACAGTAAAATAGTTGCATAAACAGTCAGACAGTAAAATAGATGGATAAACAGCCAGACAATAAAAAAGATCGATAAACAGTCAGATAGTAAAATAGATGGATAAACAGCTAGACAGTAAAATAGATGGATAAACAGTCAGACAGTAAGGTAAATGGATAAGCAGCCACACAGTAAGATAGATGGATAAACAACCAGACAGTAAAATAAATGGATATATAGGAAGATAAGCAGTCAAAATGCTACTCTTTAAGATAGATAGATACAAAGCCAGTTAAAACAACAGATAACAACAGAGAGTTGGACATGTAGAAAACCAGATAGCTACACATATTCAGACTCACACACACACAAAATCATTTCATAATCTTTATTAATTTTTCATTTCCTCTGACTAAAAAATATTATATAAAAACAAGAATAAACAAACAAGGAACCCTTGAGACCATAGATATTATTTATAATAAACAAACAAAATTTCAAGCTAAATGATAAATATGGCTAATAAAGACAACTTTTTATGAGGTACCTAGCTGGTCACGCGTCTTAGTACACTTGCTTCCACAGCGAGGCACATTCGTGATTTGCAGGTGATAGGTTCAATCCTCAACACGGCAACTATAGCTTTTGATTTTTACTTAGTAAAGCAATAACAAATAATGGTACAAGAATCCACCATAATTAAAAAAAAATTATTATATTCTTTGCTGGGCAAAATAACAAAAGGTTTTACAATCAATATGTTATCATTACATTTAAAGTTTAATATTTAAAAAATCACTGTATGCAAGCAAAACAGATTGTAAATTATCACTTTAATAAATTAAAGAATAGGTAATTTATTGTTAGCAGAAATAAAACATGACCAAATCATTTATGGGTTAGCATTCTTCTTCTTCTTCTGATTTATCAGCATTTGGCACAGATACTATAATATTGTTTCATCTGGTAGGAAATTGAATTAGCATGAACACGTTTTGAAAAACTAGAAATAGCGAAACAAAGTCTTTTCATTTTTAAAGCTTAGTGTGGTGAGTTGATTACTTTCTAGTTTGTTTTCTTCTTCTTCTTGTTTCTTATCTTACCTTCCTTTTTAGGATGCAATTTTTCGTTTTTTGAAGCCCTACTCTGGCTCTTGATAGGGCCCGCAATATAGCCAGGCCATAAATATGGCCTAAAGGCTGAACACGGTTTCTGGGACCTCTCCACGGTGATCCTCATCCACATGGTGGCACTTTGTGTCATCGAGTGTTTATCGCTTGTGTGATGTCCTGGTGGGGTAGAAAGTCAGTCAGTCAGTCAATCTTCTTCTTCTTCTTCGCGTTCACCAGCTGTAAACCCTGGTGGAATGTTCTGGTTGTTTATCCACTTCTAGACTGCAGTCCTGTTCCAGGACCTAAGTGTTGCGTGTGCATCTGACTCATTTGTATGCAGACTGCTAGTTCATTGCCTGTCAAGTAGATGTACTCCGACTTCAAAGGAAGCTCCAAATTAGTCGACACTGTTCCCGTGTGGGTTCCAGGGCCCTATTATACGGAAAACAAGAATAGACCCACTGCCTACCAAGATACATGTCTGGAATTCGGCTGTTGTGAAATTTGACACGTCACACAGAAACGGTCGAGGGAGTTGCCATGGCGGAGTGTTCACTCATCTGTGGATTGGAAGGTTGTGGGTTTGCTCCCTGTCGAAGCCGAACTTTTTTCAAAAATGACCTTGGCTCCCAGGTTGACTCAGCCTTGAGTGGGTACCAGTTGCAGTCCTGGGAAGTAAAGGCGGCCGGCGTGATGCTAACTACATCACCCCTGGAGTGCCGATTAGTCTATAAAATATAGGTCTAGCCATATATGCCCTAAACGCCTAAAGGCATGGAAAAGGGTCCTTTACTTACTTGCACAAAAATGGTCATACGTATTTAGATAAATTATCTCAAAAAAAGACTAGCTGATGCATAACTGAATAGAGAAGGTGTATAAATTCTTAGAAATGGATAGCAGTAGGTTTATCAAGTGAAAAAGTAAGGTAAGAACAATATTTCATTCCAAAAATCTTAAATGTCGAATGTTGAATTAAGAATCGACATCACAGCACTGGGGACACTCCCATAAATGCTCAGTTCCCATCTTCAGCAGCAAGCGAAAAGTTCCAATTCTGATGGTACCAGTAACTGTCTGATTGTATATCAATCCCATCCTTCTCCTGAGTGCTGAGCGTCGGCCAGATTCCCTGGTAACTCCTTGCAGCATCATTCTCCTTAGACCCTCATGATCTATCTTCACTTTTGCACTGTTCACTCGCTCCCAAAGGGCCCTCACAATAACAAAAATCGGAATGTGTGTCTAATATCTTGAATGTTGAGTCATTTAATAATTTGTTGTTGTAATACTGATCCTTTATTATTTTAGATTTATTCTGCATTCATTTCTCTTCAATTATGTATCACATACATCACTATACAGCCAATATGTTTTCTTCAGGAAGGTTTTAGCAGGCTCATGTTTGCAATAAAGAAATTCAGCTCAAAATTAATGCTGTCCAGTTCCCAGAAACCAAAAAATGTCATCCTGAAAGAGTTACATTTAAAACTGGGTGTTGTTTTATTTATGGAAAGCGATTACAATTTCTTAATTTTAATTTTTACTTAAAAAAATTAAGTCGCCTTGTAGATGGGGGTGTTTTCTTGTAGATGAGGGTGTTTTCTTGTAGATGGTAGTGTTTTCTTGTAGATGGTAGTGTTTTCTTGTAGGTAGGGGTGTTTTCTTGTAGATGGGGATGTTTTCTTGTAGATGAGTGTGTTTTCTTGTAGACCGGTGTGTTTTGTAGATAGGGGTGTTTTCTTGTAAGTGGGAGTGTTTTCTTGTAGATGGGGGTGTTTTCTTGTAGATATGGGTGTTTTCTTGTAGATGGGGGTGTTTTCTTGTAGATGGGGTGTTTTCTTGTAGATAGAGTGTTTTCTTGTAGATAGGGGCGTTTTCTTGTAGATGGGGGAGTTTTCTTGTAGATGGGGGTGTTTTCTTGTAGATAGGGGTGTTTTCTTGTAGATGGGGGTGTTTTCTTGTAAATGGGGGTGTTTTCTTGTAGATAGGGGTGTTTTCTTGTAGATGGGTTTTTTTTGTGTAGATAGGGATGTTTTCTTGTAGATAGGGGTGTTTTCTTGTAGAAGGGGGTATTTTCTTGTAGATAGGGGTGTTTTCTTGTAGATGGGGGGTGTTTTCTTGTAGGTATGGGTGTTTTCTTGTAGATGAGGGTGCTTTATAAGAAGAGAATTATAGTACTTGCATGCCCTTTACAAGAGGGCCTCTGTTAGATGTTTGTGGTTTCACTGGGCAAGTTTATGTTCAGTAGTTTGCCACTGCTTCTGAACAGTACAGCACTTATATGACAGTCAACATCAATGCAAAGCAGTTTGCCACCAAAGTGCCTGCATCTGGCTCCAAACCCTGATATGTCAGAATTATGCACATGAATTCACATCTCCCAGGCCACAGAACATGCGAATAAAATGTTACCAAATACATATCAATGCATGAGCTTGTAAACATTTAGAAAACATAGTAGGACTAAACCAGAATCTTGAATGTACAGTAAAACATCAAAAGATAGTATGCATCACTTTCAATTCTACTGTAAAACCACATAATATTAATGAGCAATAGATTCTGACTATCACATACAGTTCAACAATAACAACAACAGATTAAAGCACTGGTTAATTATTATTTCATCAAGCAACTGAACAAACTGTAAATGTAGCCTTTCTTCTTTTTCTTTTTATTCTTCTTCCATTTTCTTGTAATAAACACATCCAGCTATAGAGAGGAGACTCCAGAGAGAAAATCAGCCTCATTAACCAAGAAATATCTTCTTTGTTTTCGTTTTTGTGTGTATTCTATGTGGCAGAGACTGTTACTCCAGCATTAGACTTTACAGTCACAGCAAATGCTGTTCCCAAAGCCAGCGACACATCTCCATAGTTGCCAGGGACTGATAAGATGCCATTATAAAATTACATCTCTGGGGTTTACATGAACAGATGAGTTTTATGAAAAACTAATCACCTTTTGGAGATCCTAATAAAATCTTTGTGCAGATATATTTCTTATAAACTTGTTATTTAGCATAACATTTCTAGAAAATGAAGAGTATAACATTAATACTGCTCCCAAATCCAAACAGAATATGAGATGGTGATTTCAATCCTGGCATGGAGGAAAGTTAAGGGTGCTGTATTGTATATGAACAGATATTGTGTATCTTACTGCAGACATCAGGTTGCGTGCTAGTTTTATGGCCTCATCACATTCTTGTGTGTGACACCTTTTCAGAGAGAAACTGATTACAGCATTAGAAAAAGACAGTCTACATTCTTTGATCATACTATAAGAAAGGGATAACTGGAGAGGAAGAGGGGCAGAGAGAGACCAATGCTGGACAGTTTGGGATCACAGATGGTGGATTATCTGTGTCAGAAATTATTAAAAGTACCTGAGACAATAAGCTGTAAACAGGTAGGACTACACAGCACAGACTAAAAGAAGACCAGATGGCACAGAAATCACAGATGGATCTGGATTTGGAAAGCATTAGGACTTCACCACATACAGCAATCACTGCCAGCATAATGACCTTACCCCATACATCAATTACAGTCAGCATAATGATTTCTCCCTTTACAGCAGTCACTGTCAGCGTAACGACCTCAGCCCACACCTCTTACATACGCCATAAGGGCATTACACCAACTCTTTCACAATCTCAGTTATCTTCATGACACATTATACCACAAGGCCTCAGACTCATTACTTGCGGACACTGTCCAGGGCCTCACCCAACACCCTCAGAGTCAGCCGAATGTTATCTGGCGTGCAGTTGTACCCCATCACGCCAATTCGCCAGACTTTTCCAGCAAGATCACCCAGACCTCCAGCTAGCTCTAAACGGTAGCTGTAAACAAATAAGAGGATTCAAAGTCATTGCTTAAAAAAAATAAACTTCAACCAATGTTAACATTAAAAATAAAAACAATCAATGCCACTGTTAAAAAAACCAACATTAATCACTGTTACAAAAACAACAACACTGCTAAACATACAAAAGTCAATGTTGGGAAACAATGTCATACCTAACAAATAGGAATTAAGGTCACTACTATGAAAAAATGGAATCCCTAGAAAAAACAAAGGAATCAGAGCCATTGCATTAAAACCAAAAAAAAAAAAAAAAAAAAAACATGAATGAAGGCCATCTCTAGAAAAGAGAATCAGGAATTAAAACCATCCCTAGAAAAAAACAGGAATCAACAGAACCAGAGCTCATAATGGTCAAGACTGATCTACGCCTCTCCGTAGTCATCCCAGACACAGGTTTCCACAGCTGGGAGCCTGGTAAAACCTAGAGACTATCAACATTTCCTAGATGATTGATTGATGTTCAAGGATATCACACCGAGCGATAAACAGAGGCTGACACAAAGTGCCACCATGCGAATGTGGATCACCCGTGGCATATTTATGGCCTGGCTATTTTCAGGGCCCCCAGCAAAAGCCAGGGTGGGCTTCAAAAAACAAAAAATTGCATCCCACATGGGGACGACTGGATGTGGCTGAAGGATGCCAACAATTATCAACATTGTCTACAATTCAAATGAGCACACAAAACTCAAGTCCTAGAACAAAACTAAAGACTCATCCTCGTCATCATGTAGCAGGTCCTTTGCAGAACGTCGCTCTCATCACAGCCTGCCTGAAAGAAACTGGGTCTCTCACCAGCTCTCCCGCCTCATGCACTTTCATACTCAAGGAGTCACTTATATCCTGTGCCCATCTTTGTGTTGGTCGGCCTCTGCCCCTCCTTCCTGGTACCATGCCTTCTGCTATTATTTTTTTCCAATCCGTCGTGGCGCTTGATAAGACTAAAATATTTCAGCTTCCGAGACAGGATGCTGTTTATTAGCCAATCTTCCTTGATGTTCAGATCTTTCTAGATGTCAGTTTTTCTCCTCCTCTTTGTCCAAGATTTTCTGAGAATCTTTCTATAGCATTTCAGCTCAAAAGCCCCTATTCTCTTTCTTAAGGACTTGGAGATCGTCTGGCGGTGGATAATTAACAAGGGCTTCCCTTCAGAGATTTCAGCGAGTGAAAGGGAAGAAGGAAGAAAAAGGATTAACTCTCTAAAAAGAGGAACCAAGAAGACTTAAGGAATCATCATCTACATCATCATCAACAATATGTGCCAGGTCACTTAGCATAGGAAGTCATCGCTCAACATCTTGTTTAATCACCAGAAGCTAGACCTATGTACTTGTCCTACCATGCAATCAAGCCTTTCAAGTATTTGTCTCATTGTCTTCCTCTTGCTCTTTTTCCATCAACTTTGCCAGTTGTCAACAAGTTTACTCACAGCATGTCCATACAATCTAATTCTCTATTCAATTTATGCCTCTCATCTGTTTTTTGAAAACCAGTTTGCCCATGGTAGTCTTGACTTCTCTCTCAGAAAATGAATTTACTTTACTTAAAATGGGAACAAAATAACTAAACGAGGAACAACAAAAGACTCAATATTGACAGATGAATGACACAATAAGGAGATAAAGACTTGATAAGGAACACTGAAAGACTTAACAGAAAACAAAGAAAGACATTGTAAGGAACAAACAGAGACTCACTAAATAACAAAGAGAGACTCAATAAGGAACAAATAAAAACTAAAAAAGGAACAAAGACAGCCCCAATGAGGAACAAAGGATTCAGTAAGTAACAATAAAGGATTCAATAAGGAACAAAGAATGACTCAGTGGGAACATTGAAAGACTCAGTAAGGAGCAAAGAATGACTCAGCAGAAACAGTGAAAGACTCAATAAGAAGCCAAGGATGACTCAGTGGGGACAAAGAAAGACTCAATAAGCAGCAAAGAATGACTCAGTAAGGAATAAAGAAAAATTAATAAGAAACAAAGAATGACTCAATAAGGAACAAAGAATGATTCAATGAGGAACAAAAGACAATATGAAACAAAGAAAGACTTGAAAGGTAATCAAAAAAAGATTCAATAAGAAACACAGAATGACTCAATCTGCTTCTTCTTCTTTGTTCACCTGCTGTAAGCTCTGGTGGAAAATCCTGGTTGTTTATCCATCTAGATTTGGCTTTGTGCCAGGGCCTGAGTTTTGCATGTACATCCATTTTACTGGCTAATTTGTGTGCAGCTGGTTGTTTCTTGCTGCTCAGGCAGATGCACTCCGACTTCGAAGGTACCCCAATTCGACTAATACGACATGCATGTTGGGGAGGTAGTGGGTCTGTTCTTGTTTTCCCTATAATGGGGCCCTGGAACTCACAGGGATAAAATGACTCAATCAAACACATGCAAAACTTACTTTTTCATAGCATAATCAACAACGTCCTTCCAGTTGACACCCTGAGGAACTTTGACTGGTGTTACACATGGATTTCTGATTGTCTGAGGAGATACAGAAAAAATACCAGATGTTTAGTTTAAAAATTTGGTTTGTTTTATGAAGTATTGGTGCTTTCTGGTACAATTTGTAAGATGCACTAATGCTGTTTTCTGGTACAATTTGTAAGACTCACCAATTCTTGTTTTCCTTGTACAATTTTTAAGATGAAGTAATGCTATTTTCTGTTAGAATCCGAAAAATGAAATAATACTGTCTTTTTGGTCAATTTTTTTTAACAATTTTTAAGACGAAGTAATGCTCTTTTCTGGAAGAATTTGTAAGATGATGTAATTATATCTTCTGGTACAATTTGCCTGAAGTATTGCTATTTGGTAACACAATTTGTAAGACAAAGAAAACCAGATAGTTGATATAATCTGACACAAACCTTATCTTTCACCAGGAGTTCTAGGCCAAGTTTTTCTAGGCCTTCGTACAACAACTCTGAGCAGACTCTGTGGTCCTCCCAGGACTTTTCCAAACCCTGAAATCACAAACATATCCCTTTCATTGTCAGGGCATTGTCTAAACCAAACACATTTTTAAATTACCATCAAATACTATTAGTTAAAGCTATAGAACCACCCGCCCACTCATGTTTGAGGTTTGAACAACGGATCAACATCATGGCACACGGGTAGTTACCCATAAGTGCTCCGTTCTACTTCTAGCTCAAGTATGAGTCCTAAGTAGCTCAGCGCAGTGCACAGGCTCCGTAGCATTTGCGAGGATCCTGAAATATTCTGGGTAGATTTTTAACTCCAAATTTTGCCCAGGCAGTGCCTTTAAGCTACTCTTTTTGATTTCCAACTGTCAAGGTTTTTTACATGCGCAACACACGAGCATCTGATCTCACTACCCAGAGACCAGGGGAAATTACTATAAGTCAACGTGAACAGAAAAAAATCCCAGCCTTCACCGAGGCTTGAACCCGGGACCTCTAGCACTCAAAGCTGACACCATGTCTTGAGACCACGCAGCCCCCCCCCCCATCCACATACTCACAATATCATGTAACTCTGTAACCATAAAATTCCCTGATTATAACTATTGTACACAGTTGAATGGGGTGTCTAAGATATGCTACTGTTAAAATCTTTGATTCCAACTGTAATTGCTGAGGGGACAATTGAAAAACAATAGCCACTTATTATTTTATTAGGCACCCACTGTGGTGTAGCGGTTAAACGCTTACCTGCAGATGGGAAGGTTGTTGGTTCACATCCTGATGGAGCTGGACTTTAAAACAAAAATGACCTTGGCTCCCAGGCTGACCCCGCCTTAAATAGGTACTAGATACAGTCCTAGGAATGTAAAGTCGGCCAGCATGATGCTAAACCATATCACCCACCAAATGCCAACTGGTCTATAAAATATATGTCTAGCCCTATATGCCCAATACGAATGAATGCGTAGAAATGGGTCCTTTTATTACTATTATTATTATTCTTATATTATGAGCTAATTAAAACAGTGAACTTCTATTTGTTAACACTGGGCAAAGTGTCAGGTGGGATTGCTGCATATGAGGTTTTAATTTCTTTTTTGAAAAGCCACAAACACAGTTGATTTTCACATGTACATCATAGCATTAATGTCCGTAGCATTTATGGTTTTTTCCTCTAGAAAAATTGGTGTTCGAAATAACCTTACAGTGTCTAACAAAGGTGCCAGCACTCACTACAATGTGTCTACAAGAAAAATTAGGACAGTTTTCCCCACAAAGTGTTTTTAAAAAAGGTGGCACTACCACAAAGTGTCCAATAAAGGTGCCAGTACTCGCCAAAAAGTATCTAAAAAAAACAAGAAGGTGCCAGTACTCACCACAAAGTGTTTTTTAAAAAAGGTGCGGTACCACAAAGTGTCTAATAAAGATGCCAGTACTCACCACAGTGTCTTAAACCAAAAAGCTGCCAATACTCACTACAGTATCTTAAACCAAAAAGCTGCCAGTACTCACTACAGTGTCTTAAACCAAAAAGCTGCCAGTACTCACTACAGTGTCTTAAACCAAAAAGCTGCCAGTACTCACTACAGTATCTTAAACCAAAAATCTGCCAGCACTCACTACACTATCTTAAACCAAAAGGCTGCCAGTACTCACTACAGTATCTTAAACCAAAAAGCTGACAGTACTCACTACAGTGTCTTAAACCAAAAAGCTGCCAGTACTCACTACAGTATCTTAAACCAAAAAGCTACCAGTACTCACTACAGTGTCTTAAACCAAAAAGCTGCCAGTACTCACTACAGTATCTTAAACCAAAAAGCTGCCAGTACTCACTACAGTGTCTTAAACCAAAAAGCTGCCAGTACTCACTACAGTATCTTAAACCAAAAAGCTGCCAGTACTCACTACAGTGTCTTAAACCAAAAAGCTGCCAGTACTCACTACAGTGTCTTAAACCAAAAAGCTGCCAGTACTCACTACAGTGTCTTAAACCAAAAAGCTGCCAGTACTCACCACAGTGTCTTAAACCAAAAAGCTGCCAGTACTCACTACAGTATCTTAAACCAAAAAGCTGCCAGTACTCACCCCAGTGTCTTAAACCAAAAAGATGCCAGTACTCACTACAGTGTCTTAAACCAAAAAGCTGCCAGTACTCACTACAGTATCTTAAACTAAAAAGCTGCCAGTACTCACTACAGTGTCTTAAACCAAAAAGCTGCCAGTACTCACTACAGTGTCTTAAACCAAAAAGCTGCCAGTTCTAACTACAGTATCTGAAACCAAAAAGCTGCCAGTACTCACTACAGTGTCTTAAACCAAAAAGCTGACAGTACTCACTACAGTATCTTAAACCAAAAAGCTGACAGTACTCACTACAGTGTCTTAAACCAAAAAGCTGCCAGTACTCACTACAGTATCTTAAACCAAAAAGCTACCAGTACTCACTACAGTGTCTTAAACCAAAAAGCTGCCAATACTCACTACAGTATCTTAAACCAAAAAGCTGCCAGTACTCACCCCAGTGTCTTAAACTAAAAAGCGGCCAGTACTCACTACAGTATCTTAAACCAAAAAGCTGCCAGTACTCACCCTAGTGTCTTAAACCAAAAAGCTGCCAGTACTCACTACAGTATCTTAAACCAAAAAACTGCCAGTTCTAACTACAGTATCTTAAACCAAAAAGCTGCCAGCACTCACTACACTATCTTAAACCAAAAAGCTGCCAGTGCTCACTACAGTATCCTAAACCAAAAAGCTGCCAGTACTAACTACAGTATCTTAAACCAAAAAGCTGCCAGTACTAACCATAAACTGTCTATTAAAGCAGTGCTTAAAAAAAAAAAAACTAAATAAATTTTACAGTTTTTAAATGGTGTTGGCACTCTGTACTGCTGTGTACTGCCTGAAAAAAGCCCCAGTAAGGACATCTTTTGACAGAGTCCTTTTCTTAATGTACTTTATTTACTAAGCAACACACACACACACACACGCATATATATATATATATATATTATATATATATATATATATATATATATATATATATATATATATATATATATATATATATATATATATATATATATATATAGTACAATTCTAGTTGGTATAATTACAATAAAACTTATAAATGGAGACATCCAAGGCAAGGATTCCTACCTCAAAAGAAAATAAGACTAAGATACATCTATTTTAATATGTATATATATATATATATTTGGTAAGAGAAAAACACACTGAGTGTGGGGGTCAGTAATAACAATAATGTGGTGAAAGGCAAACAAATATATCAACAGACTTGAAATATGTTACCAAATACCTTTTAAGTGACGTTCTAAATATGCTTATAAGAGACTTTTCTAAACCTCTTCCCCGCTTACAAAATTATATAGGAGTACATTTGCCTGAGTGTTTACGGACCTCTTCAGCTAGTCGTGCCAACCCTTCACGTAACTGATATATGCTGCTGATAAAACCTGTGTGGTGATATCTGAAAATATTCACAAAAAATAACATCATGCATTGGTGATGATAATGTCAGAAACACAGGGAACAACTCAAACAATTACTTCTTTTTCTGCTGCCATTGATCCTCCGATAGTAAACAGGCTCTCAGTCAAAACTAAAAGGTCCAATTCTTTGCCAAAGGGTGGAACTCGCCCCACATCCCACTCATCTTATTCAACAGAATCTCAGAGACCTTTTTCGGTCATCCCTAACAGAACTGTCTTTAACAGAGTATCAAATGGAGACATTGAGAAAAACATTGTAGAAGTCGTCGACATGGCTGACATTGACTTTATTGGCTACACATATCCAACACATGAAAACAAAAGCCGAACCTGTCAGTCCTTGCAAACCAAACCTTCGCTATCCATTCATTTCTTCCTGACCTTCTTCTCACCCGTTCAACACCGATGTCCCGAAAGTCCACCGGTGCGCACACACGCATCTTTCAAAACAATGCTACAAAAACAGTTGTGTACTAAAAACTGAATCCATGACACTCATTCTCTTTTTCACTAGGTTTCTTTGCTGGTCTCCCTGTTTCTCATTAGCCTGTGGGTTCTAGTGTAAGGACACTCTAGTTATATTATTATCAGGTTGTCTTAATTTGTATCTTTTCCAGCATTATCATCTTTGACCTCTCCACTCAATAAAATTTGTTTACAGCTCTCCAAAAGCATTAAATTCTTTGCATTAAGTTCAGGAACCAGTTAATGGAAAAAAGAATTACTAATAAAGCTACAAACCACGTGAAAAGACTCACTTACCTACGAGGCTCATTGTCACAACCCCAGTAGTTAGCCAGTTCTTTGGCATCAAAATAGTAAGATCTGACTCGTGTCTTCCTGCTGGCGATCTTGTCCCTGTTGATTAGATGAATGTTAGCCCGTAATTACAGAGGCTCGACGAACCTGGAGCTCTGTGGTGTATTATATTTTGTATCTTGTAACTGTTTGCAGAAATTGGTCTATAGCCACTACTCCCTTTGCTTGTTGTAATTATAATTTTGTGAATCTAAATTGTATTTCTGATAAACATAGATGCAAGAGAGTATCAAAACAAGGGTCTCAGTTAAAACAGGAAAAAAAATAATGGTTATTACACAGAAATTGGACCCTCCAAAATTCAACATCAAAGTTAATAGGAGAATCCTCAAGCAAGCTGATATGTTTAAGTGCTTGGGTACGTTGATAACAGCGGGTGGAAGATGTATTAAATAGGTTAAATGTAGAATAGCTCAAGCAAAGGCAACATTTTACAAAATGGAAAATATTCTTTGCAATCTTTCTTTTTCCATTGAGATGAAAGAGATTGTACTCAAGAGCTATATAAATCCTATAATGTTATATGGAAGTGAACCATGGACAGTGAAAAATTATTTGGAAGCAGCGGAGATGTGGTTTTATAGACAAATGATAAGAATATCTTGGACAGATAAAAAAGAGTAATGACCGTGTCTTGAAAGAAAGTGACTTTGAAGAGAACTCATTGTGGCGTTCAAAAAGTGGTACAAGAGTCACACCGTGGAAGAGAATGAGGCCTCACTATGTAATTATCCCACAGTTAGCAGTGGATACTTTACAGCCAACGTCCACTGTGGAGGCGCCACACAATTTTATTTTACACAATCTTCTTCTTCCTAAAGTCCATGCCATGTGACGTTGGTAGTCATGTCTATCTACACCCTTCTGTCTTGTAGTTTCAGTCAACTCTGACATAGATGATCCTCCATGCCATGATGTCAGACTATTTAGCATCTGTTCTCTCGGTCTCCCTCTGCCTCTCCTCCACTCCAGCTTTCCTACTGTCACGATTGAATCCAGTTTTCTCTTTCTCATCACGTGACCAAAGAATGTAGACAGTCTCTTCTGACTCAATTTTTAAAGACATTTTCATTCCTTTTTTTATCTGTCCAGGATATTCTCACCATTAGTCTATAAAACTACATCTACATAGCTTCCAAATAATTTTTCTACCAACTGTCCATGATTCACTTCTGTAAATCAAAATAGGATTTATATAGCTTTCAAGAATTCTCTTTCTCATCTCAACTGACAAAGAAAGATTGCACAAAATTTTTTCATTTTGTAAAATACTGCCTATTTACGCAACAGGTTTGAAGGTTTGAGGTTTGAACAACGGATCAACATCATGGCACACGGGTAGCAAAACATAAATGCACTGTTCTTCTTCTAACTCAAGTCTGAGTCCGAAGAAGCTCAGCACAGTGCACAGGCTCTTTAGCACCGGCAAGGATCCTGAAATACTTTGGGTAGATTTTCAACTCAAAATTTTGCCCAGGCAACGCCATTAGGCTACTCTTTTCGATTTCCAACTGCCAAAGGAAGTTTTTACGTGCGCAACAATGCACACGGGCATCTAATTTCACTGCCCAGAGACCAGGGGAAATTACTGGAAGTCCAAGTTCACTTGAAAAAATCCCAGCCCTTACTGGGGATGAAACCCGGAACTTCTAGCACTTGAGGCGCATACCATACCTCGAGACCACGCAGCCCTTCTGTTACGCAACAGTAAATGTAGTCTCAACATCATCTTGAGAGGAGATGAGACACAAACAGAAGTCTCCGTTCTGAATCTTCACCACTGAAGGTCCCAAACCCGGATGATAAAGGAGGAGAGTTGGGCGTGAGGACAGCTCCCCCATCCATACAAAATAGCGTCTTCTAGAAACAATAAGGATGCCCAATAAAAACCCTCAGGCAAATGCTGATAAGAGAAGCCATAAGTGCTGAACTGGATTCCATCAAAGTGACTGTATAGGACAGAACAGAATGGAGAAAGAGGCTGTGAGCCCAGTGTAACATATAATGGCATAATGGGACAATGAATGAATGAAATGCTAAATGAAGATGCTTCTTCTTAGTTTACAAACAGCATCATCTAAGAAAAATAGTAAAACAACACAAAAGAGTATTATCAGTAAACACATGCTGAGGGATATATCAATGCCCTCAGAGAAATGGGAAGGATAGAGGACTTTGGTGGCAGTGAATCCACATCACTCGCCAGAATAGCAGACTTGGGAATTAAGATCGGCACAGCAAAAAATGAGACGCACACCAGACACGTCAGAAGACTTGTTAATCAACATAGAACTGGTACTATTAGCCATCGGACGTTGGGGTTCATACTGAGGGGAGGGTCTGAGCACCTATGGACATGTCCGGAGTGCAATGATGATAACCCAACTAACTAACTAACAAGCTGAGGGATATACTGAAGATGGAATCCGAGCACTTGTGGACTTGTTGGATGTGCAATGAGGATAATCTGTGGATTAAACAACTAACTAACTAAACAACATTATCTTCATCACAGCACAAAAGATAAAGCAAAGGCACCACTACCAAGCTTTAGGATTTTGCATCAGGTATATGGTGCCAGCCACATTTTCTAAGCAGAAAAATTAGCTCTTGGTTGGTGATGTGGTCAATAAAAGTATTATCCTCCTTTAGACTTCACAAGTCATTTCATGATACTGATTTTATCTGAGTCTACATGAATTACCTCAATCATTTAAAAAAAAGTTGCTTTAACAATGATTTAAACCTACAACCACTAGTATGGTGAGAGCTGTGGTGGTCTTGTGGCTAGAAAACCCACCTGCTGGCCGAAGGTCTTGGGTTCAAATCTGCATCAAGGCCGATTTTTTTCAAAACTGGTTGTATTCTTTTTGACTGTATTTAGGACAACCCGGCCTAAACTTAGCACCTGGTGGGTCCTATGTCTAACGTGCCAAAGACATTGATCAGCATTTTTTTTTTTTGAAGACTGACAGGCACATGTGGCAGCCATTGCATTACCAGACCTTTTACCCCATCATCATCACATATCCTGTCAACAAGTTTTGGTGGTCAAGTTTTCGCAGCTCATAAAAGAGAGTTCCAGATCAATTCTATGTCCTTTTCTCAATGATGTTATACAGCCAAGCAGTCAAAGAATTTATCTCACAGTTCCCTTCACAGTCTGAGTGCATCTGCCTGAGAGGCGAGGAATCAACAGTCTGCATACAAATAAGCTAGATCTGTAAATCAGATGATGTGCACAAAAAAACTCAAGTTCTGGAAAAAGGCTAAAGTCCAGAAGTGGACAAACAACCAGCTCTTTCTGCCAGAGTTTACAGCTGATGAAGAATAAGAACATTTTATTGTCTTTCCCTGGTTCTTTTCCAATCAAGCTTAAAATCAAGAGGACTGATCTATTATCACTACGATTTATCATAAATGGCTTGACTTCTGTCCACATAACTGCTAGCTACCTGTTGACAGCATTATAGAAAATACAAACTCTGTAACTTCAAGAACGTTCCCCGAAGATTTCTGTAAAAAAATAGTTTTGCTTCTTCTCTTCCACCTTGTACCTTAGCAAATGTCAGAGGAAAGATGTAACATTCGCTGATGAGCTCTGTCAAGAGCACTATTAAGACTGATGTTCATTTCTGTAAGGCTGTTCTTAACTCTTTCAGGCCCATGAATTTTGACAGAATTGGCCCACATTAATTTCCCTTTACAAAAATGGCAGAGGGGTGGGTGTACAAGAAAGGCTGTAGAGATTGTAATATACTTCTAATCCCTATAACAGTATATATTTTTTAAAAGAAATGAGTGTACATTCTGAATCTGATGATAAGTGTTTGTTTGATTTTGTTATAGTTAGTGGAAAAGAAGAATTCAGCAGGTGTTAATTTCACAAGGACAACATTTCACACAAAAATTCTTCACTTACCATGGTTTTGCAGCCACAAGAATAGTAAATATCCAAATTTAAGGAACAAAACTTCAAAGTTTGTTCAATTTCCTAACATATTCTAAAGTTATGATAACTTTCTGGGTTAGTTTATCACTCAGGCGCTCTTAGTTCCCACCGAGTGCTAAGCAAAATTTCAGAGAAAAAAATGGCAGAAAAATGAGCCATAACACACACTATTTACTATTCACTTTGTACAGTTATTTACAGACTGTAGCTGCGATGATTTCAATGTAGCTTAGCCATATTATCTCTTTGTTTAGAGCACTTTCCTTCTCTTACACCATAAATACGGTAGTATGGGACATTGTCTGTGTAACAAACTCGTCAGAATCGCTAGATTCCGAACAGCTGATCTCTCAGCTTCACTGGTGAAAATTCACTAAATTTTTATTATCATTATCACAATCAAAAACATCTGACTGAAACAATTTCAGAAAGACGCATTCTGAGACCTGTTCTTGTGGTTAGAACATTGGTATTCAGTGCACTCAAAAACGAACTTAGAAAATAACTTGTTAAAAAAATTTTGATGTTTTTTTTTTTTTTTTTTGCAAATTATCCACGTGTGGTTTAGTCCAAGAAATGAAACTAAAAGGATTTCGGCAGAGTGACTTTCCCTGAATTGGTTATTCGTACCTCCAAACATTAGAAACTAGTACGAACGCGCTTGCGAAGCAAAATGTAAGAGACACACGATTAACGATGACACCGTTCTTTGGGCAGAACGGAACTTCTCAAACTACGCTCACACCGTTGTTTGGGCCTTAAAGAGTTAATGCCATCAATCCATTTTTTCCAAGAACTTCCACTTGCTCTATACACGTTGTAACGTTTTAGTGTGGCTCGCTGTGGCAGATAGTACCATCACATTTTTTTTTAGGTATCCAAACGACTTCATTTGTTGTTCTTTGATGACTTGTAAGACTGGCTTTATTCCTAGCATTCGTCTGATTTCGTGATTTTGTATTCTGTCTTTCACTGAAACTCTTGCAGCTCTTCTAAGGCATTTCATCTCTGTTGTCACAATTTTACGTTCACTGGAGGATGTAAGTGTCCCTGTTTGGCACTGATAGCATAGTGTTGGCCAAAAAATAGTACTGATAAGATTCACTTAAGTACTCCAGGGTATCTGCTTGTGTAAAAACTTCATTAACTAAATTATGCAATCCATAAAACAAAGCCATAACTTTTGCACCGTGAGGTAAACAGCCTAACAACGGGCCACAAAGGCCCCACCCCCCCCCCCCCCTTCCAGCATCACGTTTAACACTGCGTTTGACAAGAAATCATAAATTTAGTATGCAGACAATGAGCTAATGCTATAACATGAGCTGTACGAACCTGGCTCGCTGAGAGAAGGAAATCGGACTTGTCGCTGGCGGAGCACTCAAAACTTTCTGAGATCCTGAATACAGTACGTCAATGTCTGGAGAAAAAAAAGTAACACAATAAAAACATTTAAAAGTTATCTGTATAATTTTTCAAGACTTAACAAAATCGGTCTCTTGCCAGATCTCACACCTCTTTGGCTAAAGTAATAATGTTCATGTCTGGCAACACCTCTTTTGACAGAAAGTTCCTGTAAGATGTAGCTATGGATCGGAAGTTCAACAAGCATGAAAGCTTGTAATCCTTATCAATTTGGTTAGGACAATGGATAGGTGTTTACCTGCCAGCGTAAAGATTTTAAGTTCAAATCCTCAACGGGTCAGAGATTTTAAACAAATTACTTAAGTTTCCTATGGGATGGATACAGTTTTCAGATAAAAGAGGAAGGGTGAGGATTAAGGTTTCAGATTAAAAAGGAAAAAAGAAGGGGAAGGAAACATGAGAAAGAGGAAGGATAAAAGTTTCAGATAAAAGAGGAAGGGGAAGGATAAAGGTTTAAAAAAAAATGAAAGGAAAGAATAGAGGTTTCAGATAAAAGAGGAAGGGGAAGGATAACGGTTTCAGATAAAAATGGAAGAGGGTGGATTACTGTTTCAAATAAAAGAGGAAGAGGAAAGACAAAAGTTCCATACAAAAGAGGATGAGAAAAGACAAAGGTTTCAGATAACAGAGGAAGGATAAAGGTTTCACATAAAAGAGGAAGAGGAAGGATAAAGGTTTCAAATAATAGAGGAAGAGGAAGGTTAAAGGTTTCACATAAATGAGGAAAAAGAAGGATAAAGGTTTCGATAAAAGAGGAAAAAGAAGGATTAAGGTTTCAGATTAAAGAGGAAGGGGAAGGATAAAGCTTAGGATTAAAGCAGAAGGGGAATGATACAGATTTCATATAACAGTGGAAGAGGAAAGGCAAAGGTTTCAGATAAAAGAGGAAGAGGAAGGATACAGTTTTCAGATAAAAGAGGAAGGGGAACGATAGAGGTTTCAGATAAAAGAGGAAGGGGAAGGATAGAGGTTTCAGATAAAAGAGGAAGGGAAGAAAAAAGGCTTCAGGTAGTTTCAGATTAAAAGGGGAAGGGAAAGGTTTTTGAATAAAAAAAAAGGAGTAGGAGGGAGAGGTGACAATTAAAGGAGAAAGGGAAAGGACAAAAGCTTTGGCCGCTACAACCGACTGTTCTAGTAGGTTCCCCCCCCCCCCCCCCCCCCCTTTTCCTCCCTTACTGAGTCTTTGTAAACCCTATTTTGTGTTCAGTGGATTCAGATGTCATTCACATCACCAGCTGAGTGTAAGTTAGTCTATAAATATTTGAGTCTAGCACCCAAAGCTCCAATGATAGAAGGGCCCTCAAACCAAAGCTCCAATGATAGAAGGGCCCTCAAACTAAAGCTCCAATGATAGAAGGGACCTCAAACCAAAGCTCCAATGATAGAAGGGCCCTCAAACTAAAGTTCCAGCGACAGAAAGGCCCTCAAACCAAAGCTCCAATGACAGAAGGGCCTTTTAATTTCCTAATATGATTTCACCAAATGAAAACAATATTCAAACAATTTACATTTAGCAAGTTTACGTGAAAACAATCTGCATTTTACTCAGTGCATTCACTCCCAAGGAACACATCATACATTCATAGGTTTCTGCCTAGAAGCTCAGTTAAAGCAAGATGTGCCAATTATATGTTTCTCTTAACTACCCCTTGGGCCTCTGATGTAAAAACCCTCGGACCAAAAGAGTTGAAATATAAAATGTAAAAAATATTATTTAAAATGAAAATAAAATAAAGAAATATTTAAAAAACTACCAGATGTCATTTTCTTCATTCACCTGCAAACATTAACACAAAATTGATAAAGAATTCCCTGTGCTCTCCATAGCAAAATGATTCAGCCATTTGCCTCATGCTATGAAGGTCATAGGTTCATTTCATGGCTGTGTTGTTTGGGTTCACGAGCAGAATTTTTATGGATACCCCTGCAGACCAACGTCAGAGCTACCGTAATTTTTGTACAGGTTAACAGTTACATTCATCAGTGTCTTCAATGTTTAGCTTATTGAGTATCTCCTATGTTTAGCTTATTGAGTATCTCCTATCTGGTAATCTGGTAATCTGGTAATTTTAGTTTCAGCTTCATAGCAAACGGGTCACCCCATAGTTGCTCCGCTCCTGTGCCAACGAAAAACAGACAAAATGTTTATCACAGTCCCACAGCATACGGTAGCCATCCGAAGTGCTAACACAAACAGTCCGACATTAGAAATGAAGTTCATCATTGATGGTAGCAGAAGTCACCAAAAGATCAGCAGTTGCACACGCGATCAATTTTAATCAAATAATGACCCCACCAATATTGCGACAACCGGCATCGCACCATTTTCTGAATCTACAAATCACACCACCACGTTGGCCACAGTCGAAAAACATTTCAAATGAAATCCGCAGCTTACAGTGTCACGCCATGCGCTCAACTCAGAAGCTGGGCAACAAAACTATATACTTCCAGTGCCCGGCTCTCTAGCGTAGTTGGCTAAACCGGATTGCGTGGAGACCGGGTGACGAACTCCTTGTGGTCCCGGTTCAATCCCGGGGGTGGGCAGGAAAGCCACATTTTCTCCCAGATTTACGGTATTTACAATGGAATCAAGGCCGAAAGGTTGCGATATCCATAATACCGAGCCTAAGGGTTAACAACTCATGGCTTCTGGATACTAAAACAAACAAACAAAACAAACAAACATATACTACCAGTCTACAAATGGAGCAAATAAAGCAGTGGCCACAGTCTGGCAGAAGCAAAAATGTCTGCCTTGGCTCAAAAAAACAGTGGCAGTGCCTAGTGTCCATTTGGACCTGAAGCATTATGTGAGGGTTAATAAACTGTCACCCCAGCAGTACCATACTATTAGCTGGGGAAGGGCCTTTGGACATTACATCCACCAGCAAGCGTCGCCCCAACAACGACCCGACTGCCTTCGTTAACGACTGTTCACCCAACAGCCATGCAGTTCTTTGGCACGAAGGAGACACCTTGGACTTGGGTTTTGGACTGCCGACTCCCTACATTCTACAAGAAGATATATGTGTGTCCAGTAGCCAAAATACCATCTCACTGTTTTACTAAAATTCAGCATGCATACTCAAATGCGCAGTAGTTAAAAAATTATTTTTTTAACACACACACACACATATACATACACTCATTACCTGCCACCCACTTGCTTGCTGGTGCAGCACACATGACTACATATATATATATATATATATCTCTCTCGGAAGAGGGAGAGAGTGAGACAAGGGAAGAATCATGCATAATGACCACAAATATGTAAGACACTGACACAGGGAATTCCCTATGCACACAAGGTCAGCATGACTGACTCCAAGAAGGGGACAGTGAATTCAAATGGCTCAGTCAGATCAGATACAGTCCCTGCTGTGACAGAAAGTTGGCTGTAATAAAGGACTGCCTTAGAAGGGACGGTTTCAGAAAGAGATGCATACTTTGTGACAGGGTAACATTGCTTGAACAATGTATTCTGCAAGCCACCAGGTTTTAACAATAGTAATACACTAGCGATGACTAATAATAATCATTAACAGCTCAGCCAATACATACATAAATCGGCGTAGACAGAAAGAGAGAGATGGAGAGAGAGAGAGAGGGATCACCACGTAACTAATTACAGCAAAAGTATAGCGTTCCTTGAGTCTTCTTTTTCGATATCCAAGCGTGCTTGTTGTCAGCCATACAGTTTTTGTGTGCATCGATCAAGGCATGAGAACAGAAAATCTAAGTGCTGTGTCTCTACGTTCATTTCTAGGTGGCCACGTGGTCACACATAGAACTTTTGTAGCAGGGTAGAGCCGTGTGAACTTGAATCCTGCAGGTAAATTGGGTGCTTAGAGAATGTCGTGTTCCCAGGTGTATCTTGTGTAGCCTGATGAGATGTAATCGCGAAGAAAGGTGAAATATTTACAAGAAGAGAATTCCGAGTGTCGGTAATTATTTCTTCTTCCATTCGTGTACCCGCCTGCGTCAGAACAAATGTTGCTCCATTAAATGGCGTCTAGGTGTCCGAGGGAACGGGGCGTATATTGGATGATGGCCTGATGTAGCGTAGTTCAATCAGTTTCATGTTCCACGTTTCACTGGTGTAAGATTTATTGTCCTCTTTCTGTCTCACACAGATATTAGCGGGCAGGTCGCCTTTACAAGCCCTTGGAAATACCGCGTGTATAATGTTCTACGTAGTATCATTAGAGAATGGGATGGTCCGAATGCCTATAGTTCAGTGTGCTAGTCCAGCAGCTAGCATTGTTCTTTCTCTTCTTTTCCCTAGTATTACTATCTTTTGAAAATGCTCAGTCCTATCATAGTCCCACATGCTTTGTTTGTATAGTGTGGCACTTGTGGGATGTCTCTCGGTTAGCCAGTATTCTGGGTGGTGATAAATCTCAGTGTCCCGGACAAAACGCCCACTGACCTTCGCATCCGTGGTTCCTGTGTCTGTATGTTCAGTACATTTCCGTTAAAATAAGTTCGAGAATGCTACAAAAACCACATTTGCATGCAATCATGACATTTAATTGCTTGAAACAATATTTCACTGCACATCCAACGGAATAACGATCATAACAATGGTAAAAACGTCGCTAGTTCACAGACACAATTAGAATAAAAAAGTAGGGAGTCGGCAGTATCTCCTATGTTTAGCTTAGTGAGTATCTCCTATGTTTAGCTTTTGAGTATCTCCTATGTTTAGCTTATTGAGTATATCTTATGTTTAGCTTAATGAGTAAATTATAATTCATGTGTCTCCACATGAGAGAGAGAGAGAGAGAGAGAGAGAGAGAGAGAGAGAGAGAGAGAGAGAGAGAGAGAGAGAGAGAGAGAGAGAGAGAGAGAGAGATACAGAGAGAGATACAGAGAGAGAGAGATACAGAGAGAGAGAGATACAGAGAGAGACAGAGAGAGACAGAGAGAGAGAGAGACAGACAGAGAGAGAGAGAGACAGAGAGAGAGAGAGAGAGAGAGAGAGAGAGAGAGAGAGAGAGAGAGAGAGAGAGAGGGTTGTGTGTTTCAGTAACAGCTAGAGCTATGCCAACAGTGGTTTAACTTTTGGTAGGGTCTTCCATGTCAGACAGTCAAGAAATAGAAACTATAATAAATAGACCTGTCACCTTGCAGGCAGACTGGGACCATCAATGGCTTGGAAAGCAAACCCAAAACATTTGCTTATTGAAAAAAGATGAACTGAACCACAGGGCTGATAAAGTATCATTGCTTACCTCTTGCTTTTTTTGCCCTAAACCTTTCCCTCCAGTATGGTTTTTAAAAGCATTTTATTAAATCTTTTAACATAGTCAAAATATTTCAACTGTCTCATTCATTTCTTTCAATAAATGTCTTTTCATTCACAATCTTTCCAGAATCTGAAATGTGTTTGTAATGTCACCCAAAAACAAGCTATTAAGAAGTGTTTCCTTTCAATACATACTCTAATCATCAATAAATAACTTTTTCTACAATAGACATTCCAATCATCCATAAATAACTTTTTCTTCAATAGACACTCCAATCATCCATGAATAACCTTTTCTTCAACAGATACTTCAATTAACCATAAATAACTTGTTTCTTCAATATATACTCCAATTATATATAAATAACCTTTTTATTTTTCAATACATACTCAAATCATCCATAAATAACTTGTTTTTTTTTTTCAATATATACTCCAATCATACATAATTACCTTTTTTTTAAAAATACATACTCTAATCATCCAAAAATAACTTCTTTTTTTTTTTCAATACTCACTCCAATCATCCATAAATAATGGGTAGCCTCCAAGAATTGCCACAGAATCCACCAACAAGAGGGCGTTGTACCTGAAATAAATAAGTAAAAAAGTTAAGAACCTTTTCATGCTAGTGGGAGACCAGACAGATGATATGAGACTCACATCCTAGACCAACTGACACTCCATGGTTGATGTGGTCAACATCCTGCCCGTGACCTTAACTTCCAATAATATTTCTTGATATCAATTTCAGGCTAGGTCAACCTGGGAGCTGGGATCAATTATAACAAATCTGCCCCTCTGTTGATTTAAACTTAAAATTTTCGAGTTGACAATGTGACTTCTAGGAACAAAAATGTGAAAAGAAGCTTAGAAATTATGATATCAACAATGAGGGTCACTGGGCGCGTAAGAATCGCACGCTACATTTTATTTATCTTTGTTATATTTTTTATCATCATAACCATGCTCATCATTTTCTTGAACATCAAATTTTCAACTTTGCTTTTCTTCCTTTTTTTTAATTTAGTAATGAGATTCTGAAAATATTACAAAATAAAACAATTTTTGAAAATCGGTAACACAATAATGGGGTCTATGAACATGTGACAGGTTTATCAACATAGAATAGGGCAAAAATATTGAGGTTTGTAAAAATGGGACACAATCATGAGCTCTATTGACACTGGATGTGGTAAAATAATGAGGCTTGTGAAGCTGGGACACAATCATAAAATTTATCGACATGGAATGTGGCAAAATAATGAGGTTTGTGAACACTGGACACATTCATGAGATCTATCAACAACGGGATGTGGCAAAATAATAAGATATATCAACATAGTGTGAGGTGAAATAATGAGAGAAATCTACCAACATGGGATGTGACACAATCATGAGATCTACCAGCATGGGATGTGACAAAATAATGAGATCTATCAACATGGGATGTGACACAATCATGAGATCTACCAACATGGGATGTGACACAATCATGAGATCTAAAAGCATGGGATGTGACAAAATAATGAGATCTATCAACATGGGATGTGACAAAATAATGAGATCTACCAGCATGGGATGTGACAAAATAATGAGATCTATCAACATGGGATGTGACAAAATAATGAGATTCATCAACATCAGTTGTGACAAAAAAATGAGATCTATCAACATGGGATGTGACACAATCATGAGATCTACCAGCATGTGATGTGACAAAATAATGAGATCTATCAACATGTTTTGTGACAAAAGAATATTATCTATCAACATGGGATGGAGCAAAATAATAAGATTCATCAACATCAGTTGTGACAAAATAATGAGATCTATCAACATGGGATGTGACACTATCATGAGATCTACCAACATGGGATGTGACACAATCATGAGATCTATCAACATGGGATGTGACACAATCATAAAATCTACCAACATGTTATGTGACAAATTAATAAGTTCTATCAACATGGGATGTGACAAAATAATGAGATCTATCAACATGGGATGTGACACAATCATGAGATCTACCAACATGGGATGTGACAAAATAATGAGATTCATCAACATCGGTTGTGACAAAACAAAATGAGATCTATCAACATGTTATGTGACAAAATAATGAGATCTATCAACATGTTATGTGACAAAATAATGAGATCTATCAACATGGGATGTGACAAAATAATGAGTTCTATCAACATGGAATGGGGCAAAATAATGAAGTTTGTGAACATGTGACCCAATAATGAGCTTTACCAACATGGGATGTGACACAATCATGAAATCTACCAACATGGGATGTGACAAAATAATGAATTCTATCACCATGGGATGTGACACAATCATGAGATCTATCAACATGGGATGGGGCAAAATAATGATATTCATCAACATCAGTTGTGACAAAATAATGAGATCTATCAACATGGGATGTGACACAATCATGAAATCTACCAACATGGGATGTGACAAATTAATAAGTTCTATCAACATGGGATGTGACGAAATAATGAGATCTATCAACATGGGATGTGACACAATCATGAGATCTACCAGCATGGGATGTGACAAAATAATGAGATTCATCAACATCGGTTGTGACAAAACAAAATGAGATCTATCAACATGTTATGTGACAAAATAATGAGATCTATCAACATGGGATGTGACAAAATAATGAGTTCTATCAACATGGGATGGGGCAAAATAATGAAGTTTGTGAACATGTGACACAATAATGAGCTTTACCAACATGGGATGTGACACAATCATGAAATCTACCAACATGGGATGTGACAAAATAATGAGTTCTATCACCATGGGATGTGACACAATCATGAGATCTATCAACATGGAATGGGGCAAAATAATGAGATTCATCAACATCAGTTGTGACAAAATAATGAGATCCATCAACATGGGATGTGACACAATCATGAAATCTACCAACATGGGATGTGACAAATTAATAAGTTCTATCAACATGGGATGTGACAAAATAATGAGATCTATCAACATGGGATGTGACACAATCATGAGATCTACCAGCATGGGATGTGACAAAATAATGAGATTCATCAACATCGGTTGTGACAAAACAAATTGAGATCTATCAACATGTTATGTGACAAAATAATTAGATCTATCAACATGGGATGTGACCAAATAATGAGTTCTATCAACATGGGATGGGGCAAAATAATGAAGTTTGTGAACATGTGACACAATAATGAGCTCTGTCAACATGGAGTGTGACAAAATGATTGTGAACATGGGTCACAATAACGAGATCTATCAACATTGAATGGGATAACATTTTTGTGAACATGGGACACAATAATGAGATTCTATCAACCGCATGGGGCAAAATAATGAGGATTATGAAAATGTGACAAAATAATGAGGTTTACTAATATGAGAGGGGCAAAATAATGAGATCAACATGGGATAGGACACAATAATGATGTTTCTGAACTTGGGACAAAATAATGAGATCTATCATCATGGTATGGGACCCAAAAAAAAGATTTGTAAGCACATTAAAAAAAATCAATCTGAAAACATGTGACAAAACAATGACATCCAATAACACACTGAAATCTTGAATTCAATCAACTATCAAATGTGGGAATGAGATGAACGTGAGATCGAAGCAACAAAAGAAACTCTTACTTATGACACAGATCTCCAAGACCCTCCAGCGGCTGCCGTGTTCCTCCCGAAGACTCTCCATAAGTGACAAATACTAGAGCAGGCTTGTGTTCTTTCAATCCCTGCAGAAAAATGTGGCACGTTTTCAATGCTCACAAAAAGAAGAAAGGGGATGAAAGGCATAATAAAAAGGCAGAATGCAAACAAAAATCCTTGAGTAACACCTATTGTGGACACAATATTTCCAATTCCAAAATGTTTTCTTTACCTTTCTTGTTTATAACAATGTGACAGGAGAATAAAAATTATGTTACCTTCTCTATTTCCTCGAGTGTGAAGACTTCTCCAAAGGGGCGGACAAGCGGCTTTACAATGGAACCTAAAAATGAAATAGTTTTATAATTCCATAAAGAACAACAGCTTTTTGAATAATAAACAAAATGTAACGGAATTGTTTTTAAATTAAGAATTTTTTTTTTTATGTTGACATCAAAAAGTGGTGTTAAAGAAATTGTATCTTCCTATTGTCATCCACAAGGTAACTGTGCAAAATTGATGGTTAATAGTCTATCAGGAACTTGTGTAAAAATCGACCACAAAAGTCATGCCCAGAGAAACATACAAACATAAACATAAATACATTTTTAAAAAAAAAACTTATTAAAAGCCTATAATAAAGTCCTATTATTGTGCAACCATTTATTCAGACAAATTTCTTCTCCTTCTAACAAAAATGTACCTGGAAGTCTCAATGGACAGGAAACACCTTCTACATGAGGCTCTGGGAGACAACAAGGGTCATCGGCTGAAAACAGGTAGCTCTTGGATGGCACAGGCAGAAGTCATGATCAGAGCTGTTTGTGCTACTGACAAGATAGCTCATGGGGAAGAATGGGTTACAGTGCCGACCAGCAAAACAGACTTGCACAGTGTGATAGTTACCTTGGACCGAGGGTGCCAGGAATGGATAGCTGGTGAAACAGAAGCATCAGTGCAAGAGCTGATTAATAAAAATTCACGGCCAGCACGTATCGTTATACGCACAGACGGATCTGTATTGAAAGGCAGAAGGAGTGGGTGGGGTTTTATTGCAAAGGTGAATGGAGGCTGTTTAAAAACAAGGAGCCTTGCATATAACGTAACAACATCCAGTATGAGAATGGTGGTGGAGGCAGTAACGGCAGTTTTCCGATGGCTGGAGAGCAGCCCAGCTCAACATGTGGTAACTGTAATGAACTCACAGAGCATGCTTCAGAAAATAGAAACTTGTTGCTTGCATCACTTGTTAAGACACAGATCAGGAGCATATCATGGATTTTCTGTCCAGGATATCTGGGTGTGCGGGGTAATGAGCAGGCGGATAGACTGGTTGCTGCTGCTTTTCCTCTGGGTGGTGAGCTACTTTATGACAGGGTAGATGTAGTAAAGGCTCTCTGGGACAGATCAAGCATCCATACACTGACAGACTAATTCAGCAGGGGATCAGCAGAGAATCTAGAAGATATTCAAAAGTGAGGGGGAAACACAAGTGAACATTCAATCTGGTTGCAGCTGACACAATTAGTATATCGATTCATCGTTCGCTACTGAAGAAACAGACGGAGCACTTGTGGGAATGTCCCGAGTGCAGGGATGTCTGTTCATTCATTCATTCTTCTTCTTCTTTCTTGTCTGCTTTTTATCACTCAATTGAACACAGGCCTTCAAGGAGCTAATGTCAAGTCCTTTGTAAAACAGTTCATGATTGTATTAAACCTTTTACCTCGGGGACCTAATAAAATGCAAAGATAAGCTTTGCTTGCTATTTTTTGGATACTCTAGGCAAAAAAATCTTTAGGAAAAAGACCCCATTTACAAAGGTCACATACATAAAATCAGTTTACTGGCCAAAAGTGAACAAATACTATAGAGCAGTGGCTCTCAACTTTTCTTATGCTGCAACCCTTGAATAAAGTTCCCTCATGTTGTGGCGAACAATTATTTTCCTTCACAACTTTAATAAATATGTGTTTTCCGATGGTCTTAGGCGACCTCTTGAAAGAGTTGTTCCACCCAAAAAAGGGTCACAACCGAAGGTTTGAGAACGGCTGCTACAGAGATTAACTCTTTGAGTCCCAGAGGGTTTAGCATCACAGGCCCAAGGGGTAGTCAAGAGGACGTAAAATCGGTGCATCATGCGCTCACTGGGCTTCTAGGCAGTAACCTATGAACGTATGATGCGTTCCTTCGGACTCAAACAGTTAAGGGGAGTGGTCAATTAAAAAAAAAAAAATTATAGTATGACACTTACCTGACCCAGTAATCACAGTCGTCAATGGGGAAAATATGACATAAATTAAGCTATTTTTCAAAAAGCCCCCTCCCCAGCCTCCTGAATCAAATGCTAATTTTATGAGGTTTAGTCATCCCCTCTCCCATTGAATATTTGCACAGACACAAATGCAAATAATTTGGTTAGCCAGCAGTCCTGTAATCATGTCTCTACAGCGAGTCGGGAAAGCGGCTTTTATGAGGAAATGGTATCAACCAAAAGTATCGGTTCTGTGGCTTCTCAAGTTGAAAATTTAATGTGCAAACACTGATACAACTTGTAGTAAGAGTTATTTAATCATTGATATCTGAGTTATAACTGGAACCTACACGACCTCGCCTCCGATGCTGAAACAGCTGCCAAGATTGGAAACAACAAAGCCGTATTCCATATTATGAAACAACTGTGCAATCACTCACCTACACTAAATACACCCATTAAAGACAAGCAGGGTAAACTACTACTATACGACGACCAACAAACAAAGCGATGGGCAGAACATTTCAAGGAAATATTAAATAGACCAAATCCTGACATAATTCCCAATCTAGAAGAAGAAATTATTACACCGACACTAGTTGCCTCCAGCGAGTCATTCACAATAGAGGAGATTAAAACAGCTATTAAAAAATTAAGAATAAACAAAGCTACCGGAGAGGACAACATCTCAGGGAAAATGCTCAAAGCAGCGGATGAAAACACCCTGCAACATTTGCTCCAGCTGATGGATGAAGTCTGGCAAAACGAATACCCACCACAACAGTGGAAAGATGGTGTAATCTTCAAATTACCTAAAAAAGGTGATTTATCCGATTGTAACAACTGGAGAGGCATCACCCTGCTTTCGATACCAGGGAAACTATTTTGTAGTATTCTACTAGAAAGATTGAAAAAATCCATAGATGAAAGATTAGGGAAGAACAAGCCGGTTTTAGATCCAAGCGGTCATGCATAGACCACATCTTTACTCTTAGAATAATTGTTGAAGATTCTACAGAATTCCAGTCGAAATTATTGATCAACTTTGTCGACTTCCAAAAAGCCTTCGACAGTATCCATCGTCCAACACTCTGGAAATTGCTTAACATCTATGGTTCCCCCATCAAATATATCAACATCAAAAAATCTTTTTATAAAGAAACACGATGCTGTGTAAGAACTGATTCCGGCAATTCTGACTGGTTCCCGGTGGAAACAGGAGTGAAGCAAGGCTGTGTCCTATCACCGATGCTTTTTGGGATAGCAATCGACTTGGTCATGCACAAGTGCATAAATAACGCAAATTTAGGCATTACATGGGTTGACAAAATTCTGGAAGACCTAGACTTCGCCGACAACATAGCACTAATGAGTTCAGAACACACAGATGCCCAAGAAAAAATCAATCGACTCCAGAATTTCTCAGAACAAATTGGACTCCAAATTAACACCACAAAAACAAAAATTCTAGACCTTACCAACAGTTCAGTTGATATCACGCTGAACAACAACAGCTTTGAAAAAGTCAACAGTTTCACTTATCTAGGGAGCAAGATGTCATCTACAGGAGATACCGCACCAGAAATACCATTTAGAATAGCACTGGCATCTAGTGCCTTCAATAAACTGTCCAACATCTGGAAATCAAAGACATTTAGCAAACACACAAAACTCAAGATCTTCAATTCTTGTGTGATTCCAGTACTAACCTATGGATGCGAGAGCTGGAAATCAACGAAAACTCTAGACACAAAATTAGACAGTTTTGAAAATAAATGCCTTAGAAGAATACTAAATTTCAAATGGTCAGATTTCCGAACCAATACACAAATAAGGCAAGAATCCAGGCAAGAGTATGTGTCTAATTTTATACGAAAACGCTGCTAGAACTATGTCGGCCACGCCCTTAGAATGGATAAATCAAGACTTCCTTACCAAGCCCTCATTTGGACACAACAGGGGAAAAGATCTTGTGGAAGACCAAGGGAAACCCTACGTAGAACTATCATCAGGGAAGGCTCGCTCATGGGCCACTCAAACATCCAAGACCTACAACAGATTGCAACGAACCGCCATGCATGGAGAGTCATGACCTCTGCCCTATGTGCCGCACTCGACACAAGAGGAAAAACTAACTAACTAACTAACTAACAGAGTTTTAAATTTTTGATTTATGATTTTACAACTGTTACCCAATAAAGAAGACTTAATGTTTTTTGCTGATCTATCAGTCGTGTCAACTCCACCACTGTCATTAACTTGCCCTGGAAGTATTTCTATGCTGCTATCGCTTCCCAGTTACAGAGAGAGATAATCAGGTGGTTAAGTCAATTTACCTTCTTTGTACACAGACAGCATTCTCTCTCTCGACTTCAATCATCAACAAGCTTCCATCGTCTGCTCAGCCATTCTTCTGCTCTTGCCAGATACTTAGATTCGCTGTCATTCACTATTTAGATTTACTCAAAACATTCACTCAGTCATACCATCCGCCTCCACTTGCTGTCTCTCACAGAATACTTGTTCCTTCTCCCACACATCCAATTGTTTAATTTTCCCCATTAGATTTTCATCACTCCTTCAATCATTCCCATGGAACTCACAATCCCTGTTTGGACATGCTTTCTCAACAATTCTTTCCTAACTTTCCTAACAGGCCTTCGAACTCTTGACCCGTCCAACTGTGGAACCACTTCTGAGGTCACGGGATTTCCCATTCACAAATCACCTCAATTTAACTGTGGAGAAACATTCTCAATAAAATTAATCCACTACACCAAGCACTGAGATGTGTGAAGAGACAGGAACATCCACCCCATTTGGTAAGCCACAAGGTGATGACAATGATGATGATGATGATAACGATGTGATGATGATAAAAATATATACCATTTCTGTCGACCATATCAGCTAACCTCTGACCCCAGATGCCATTCTCACCCACGAGAGCGATTTCTCCCGGCTCCAAGATATTCGCTACCGCAGCCTCCATTGCAGCATGGCCTGTCAACACACAACATAGTCATCATGTTGAAGTACAGAAGATCTTTTAGAGAAAGCCTGAGATATTATCTTCTTCTTCTCCTTAGCATTTACTGATTGTAAACTCCAGCATAAAAAATATCTGCTTGTTCTTCCACTTCTAGACTTGTTTTGTTCCAGAACTTGAATTTTGCATGCACATCTGTTTTACAGATCTGGCTAACTTAAATGCAGACTGCTGGTTCCTCGCCGCTCAGGCAAATGCTAGAAATAAAAACACATAAGATGCTAATTTCAGAGTGTAATAACATTTGTCTTCACATATACTGTGTTTCAACATTAGGTGACATGACAAACTCTCTGATGTGTAATTGTGTATGTATGAGTGCATGTCTGTGTGTGTTTATATAATTACATACAAATATATGTATTTGGGAGTCGCCGTGTCGTTGGCGGCTAGATGCCCGGTCGTGGATTGCAAGGTCATGGGATCGCATCCTGACAAAGCATGACTTTTTTCAAAAATGACCTTGATTCCCAGGTCGACCCAGCCTTGAGTGGGTGCTATGTGCAGTCCTGGGAAGTAAAGGTGCCCGGCGTAATGCTGACAACATCACCCACCAAGTGCCGATTGGTCTATAAAAATATAGGTCTAGCCCCATATTCCCAATACGCCTAAAGGTGTGGAAAAGGGACCTTTATTTACTTTTTTATATATTTGAGACTATGTATGTGTACGCATGAGTGTGAATGCATATATGTGTCTGTATGAGCATGAGTTCATGTATGTATTTGTATATGTGTGTATGAGTGTGTGTGTCTATGTATGTATGCATATATATATATATATATATATATATATATATATATATATATATATATATATATGTGTGTGTGTGTGTGTGTGTGTGTGTGTGTGTGTGTGTGTGTGTGTGTGTGTGTGTGTGTGTGTGTGTGTGTGTGTGTGTGTGTGTGTATGTGTGTGTGTATGTATATATATATATATATATATATATATATATATATATGTGTGTGTGTGTATGTGTATGAGTGCGTGTGTGTCTATGTATGCATGGGCATGTAAGAGTATGTGTGTATGTGTGTATGTGTATTTTTCAGTGTGTATGATTGTGTATATATGATGTGTGTATGCATTATTTCATTATGTATATTTGTATACAAACATAAAATGTGTTACTGATAACACGCAACTGTGACAGCTGTGAAAGATGAGCGCTTGGAAGGGTCATATGTAGCAGCCAGTAAAGAGTGTCAGTTCTGATGGTGTCAGCAACGGTTTGATTATATGCCCCTCTTGCCTCTCCTCTGAGTGTAGAGTGTCCACCAGATCCCCTGGTCACTCCCAGTTGTACCAGTCTCTCTCGACTATAATCATCGATGTGTGACTCCACACTGTTCACTCGCTCTCAAAGAGCCTTGATCACATCTAGCTTGCCATGCATATTTACCAATCATTGGCGCAGAACCATTGAATCTGTCTGACTGTTCATTTCCCAATGCTCCTGCATGCCCTAAAGAAGACATCTAAAGAAGTGATAATTTCCACTCTGCATCACTGTAGACATCATCATCATCTGCCCTGCCAACTGGCGTAGGTGCGTATGCATCTCCACAGATCACAATCCCTGGTTGACAGCTCTCTTGATGATATCCCTCCATGCCATTGTTTTAGCCCATCCGGCATCATCTCTCTTAGTCTGCCTCTACCCCCTTTTCCACTAATCTTTCCAGCTGTCACAATGTTCTCCAATGTCTCTCTTCTCTCATTTTAGACTTACTTATATTTAACACCCCTGTCAAAGTACACTTTATTGGCTTCTATAACTCATTTTAATTCATCACCTAACAACAAAGAAGGTTTCTTATCACACAGCATTGGTTTCATAATAATTAGTAGACAAAACATGCACAGATAATCTGCTGAACCATTTCTCTGATCTTATCACTGTTATGTGCCATGCAATATTAATGCATGAGACACTCAGCTGTTTCTGATGACTAAACAAATATTGCAGAGTCAAGGTCTAATATCAAATCAGATCTCAAATAAATAACCTTTTCTGATAATCAAACAAATCTTACATTGTCAAGGTCTGACTTCAAATCAGATGTCAAATAAACAACCTTTTCTGATAAACAAATCTTACAGTGTCTAGGTCTAAGATCAAATCAGATGTCAAATAAACAACCTTTTCTGATAAACAAATCTTACAGTGTCAAGGTCTAAGATCAAATCAGATGTCAAATAAACAACCTTCTCTGACAATTAAGCAAATCTTACAGTGTCAAGGTCTAATGTCAAGTCAGTGAAACATGGACAACCACTAAACAGTTATTAATAAACCACACACATTCATTAACTGGTGCCTGCTCTGAATACAGGGAACTAACTGGTAAGAGAGAATCACTAATTTGGAGCTTCAGGAGAAAAATTTAATAAATTTTGGTGAATCAAGAGATGAGAAACCGATGCTAGTACTGGATAGAACTAACACTGCAGAAACCTGATATTAGTATAACTAGAATGATTGAACAGCCTTTAAAGTCTGTGGTTAAGCACCAGCAAGGAGATCAAAATTAGAATTTTGAGAACATGCATCTTCCCTGTGGCTACATACGGATGTGAGTCGTGGACTATCTCTCAGTCCTTGAGAAAGAGAATAGGAGCTTTTGAGCTTAAATGTTATAGAAAGATTCTCAGAATATCTTGGACAAAGAAGATGAGAAATATTGACATCTTAAAAGATCTGAACATCAAGAAAGATTGGCTAATAAACAGCATCCTTTCTCGAAAGCTGAAATATTTTGGTCATATCAAGCGCCACGACGGATTCAAAAAAATTATAGCAGAAGGCATGGTACCAGGAAGGAGGGGCAGGGGCCGACCGACACGAAGATGGGCACAGGATATAGGTGACTCCTTGAATGTGAAAATGCATGAGGCGGGAGAACTGGCGAGAGACCGAGTTTCTTTCAGGCAGACTGTGATGAGAGCGATATTCTGCAAAGGACCTGCTACATGATGATGATGAGAATGTCCTTGTAATGAAACCCACAGAAATCCATTCTTGTGACTTTCTGACAGTGATAGGAAAACTGCACTGTGAAAAAGACTGCGGCCTCAATATGTAATATACCCAAAGACAGCAATGGATGCATAAACCCACTGTAGTCAACCTCCAGTCTGAAGATGGCACATGCAAGCATGCACACTCAAAAGAGACAGACAGATAAACTAATGAAAAGGTAAACACTGTATGATGAAAGAAATATGAACATAAAACCAAGATGACCATCCAGCCTCTTCTTCTTTTCTGTAGAGCCTGTTCTGCTTTACAGCATCAGGTTTTGAAGAGGCATGTGGTGCAAGCCTTGGTGTATGCTAGGTTATCATCCTCCAACAACTAGTGAAACTCACCACTCCCTGAAATTGCAAATGTCCACTCATTCTTGGTCTGGAAAGCATACTGTATACCTTCCTTGACCTCATCCATAATCTGTAACATGAATCGATATTGTATAGATAAAGCAGGAATTAAAATTTAATTATTCCCCTCTTCCACATTCATTCTAACATCATTGGCATATACCAGGGCTATTCAACCGGTGGCATGCAAACGAAATCTGGCCCACAGAGGCCTAGCAAGTGGCTCATGGATCACCTGCTAACTGCATCATATCAATGATCTTTCTATGCCGAAGCTCAAGCCTCTCACCTGTGATGGGTAGTATTTTTTCCCCCGCAAAATGAGGGGGAATTTTACGTTTAGTAGTTTGCCACTGCTCTCTAAACAGTCAGCACTCTATACCACATGCCAAAATCAATGCAAAGCGATCTGTTGCAGAATCTCCTGCAGCTGAATCAAACTGGTTATTCAATTATTACAATATGCTTAATAAGTTACTGTCTGTATTTACATCTCCTGCTGAGTGTGTGTGTGTGAGTGCGTGTGTTCATGCATGCATGTGTGTGTATGCGTGGAAGGGTTCGGGGTGGAAAAGGGGGAGGGGGGGGGGGGCTTTCAGCCTGTATATCTAAGGCCCCATGGTTGGTCAGTGCCGTCGCCATGAACTGTGCAGGTTAGGATTATACTTTTTCCCCAGAAAGAAAAACCTATCAACTAACAGAGGATTTGAACTGGGGTCTCCGCATTAGAGCCCAGCATTCTTAGCTATTCAGCCAGCTACTTCTCTCAACAGTCTACATTATTAAAATATTCTTTGCTTCCTCTTAGGGTCATGGTAATGCACACTCTCAAGAGCAGTGTTTCTCAACCTTTTTACACCTATTGCTCAGCAATTTTGAATTAAGAATCAACATCACAGCACTCGGGACACTCCCATAAGTGCTCCGTCTCCCTATCTTCAGAAGAAAGTGAAGAGTTTCAATTCTGATGGTACTAGTAACTGTCTGACTGTACATACGCCTCACCTTTCCCTTGAGTGTTGAGTTGAGATGAGTCAAGAACTGACATCACAGCACTCGGGGCATTCTGATGCGTGCTCTGTTCTCATCTTCAGCTGACAGCGCAGAGTTCCAATACTGATGGTACCAGTCACAATCTGGTTATATGTCCATATTGCCTTTCCTCTGAGTGTAGTCAGCTGGCCAGACTCTCTGGTTACACCCAGGTGCCTCATTCTCTCCAGGACATAATAATCTTGTTTCTCTACTGATTCCTATGCTTGTTCCCAAAAGGCCTTGACCACATCGGCCTTGTCATGTATCAATTCACCACCCAGTGGTGCAGATCAAGCCAATGTGTCCTCTGTTCATTACCAACTACACTGGCATGGCCTGGAGAAAAGATCTAAAGTATGCTCACTACCCATGACCATCCCAGTGAAGCTTGCCACTTTGCTCGAAGCATCCCTGCCTTCACCTTTCTCAGCATGCTTTCAGAGTATTCCTTTGAGTGCTGAGCGTTGGCCAGATCCCCTGGTAACTCCCCGCAGTGCCATTCTCCTCACACCGTAATGATCTATTTGTGCCTCGGCAATGTTCACCTGCTCCTAAAGGGCCCTCAAAACATATGGCTTGTCATACATCAATTCACCACCAAGTGGTGCAGAACTGGCCATCAATCTGCCTGCTCGTCTTCCAGCACACCACCATGACCTGGAGAAAATATTAAAACCGAACTAACTACCCGGAACCTCTGAAGCGACAGCTCACCTTAACGGGGAACAATTGTTTCACAGCCCATCTGACAGCCAACCACACACAGAAACAATAACACAGTTTATGTGTTAAATCTCATGCATAAAATCTACTATTTAAGGTAACGTGACATCTACTGCTTCTTAGAGGTCTGAAAATCTTATTTGCAAGGCTTGAGCATTATTTCTGATATAGGAAGCGACGCAACAACATTCATTCTCTCACCCCCTAAACACAATAGCAACATTCTTTGTGTCAGCAATTGCTATATTCTCTAACAGCTAACCACTCATCTGAATCCCATTCTGAATAATTTAATGTTTCATTGTCAGGCTTAGAATTAGAAGTATCATACTGAAATAAATTCAGAGCTTCAGCCGCAGAAAGGTGAGTGCTGAGGTTTGTACTTTGAACAGTGGTACCCATGATCAGTCAAAGATAAAATCGGAAAAATTACTGTCTGAAAATGACATTTGCAGTAAATTTAATAATTTTATGCTTTAACATTTAAACAAAGACTGTAAACAAGAAAAACCATTAGAGTGATCTTCCCTGGAATTCTAAATATAGTTTCAAACATTTAAAAACTAGTACTGAGCAATACGCAAATCAATATGTGCAGGACATACAATCAGCGCAGAGTACGCTGTTTGGGCAAATAGGAATTTTCTCAATCAACGCAAACTGCATCAACTGGGCCTCAATGAGTTAAACCCATGTTTGCCACAGGTCAAGGACTACAGCCCTATTAGCATAGAGCTTGTAAAACATATTATTTATAAATCTGCTACGCCGAAATATTTTCATAATTTTATTTTTCATAACTGTTATCTTCTAGGGTCTTGGACGCAGGAGAAATTTCAATGTGCTTCTTATCTATAGTGCGTTTCAAAACTCATGCCAGCACACTTGAATCATTATCTCAAAAACTCCTGTACAGATCAACACAAATATTTTGTAGGTGGCCTTGGATTTTCCATGTCCTTATGATTCTACTATTTACAGTTGCACAGATGCTGCTGTTTTCTTAAAGTGGAGCATTTCTTTGACCTTTGTTTGACTAATAATTTCTGTACTCCTGAAAAATAGAATATGCAGTAACTGGTACACGTGTGGAGATTGCTAGGATATCAGTTCATATGTGCAGCAATGTGTGGTGATTATTTTGACAGCCTATTTCCCACTCAATGAAAAAATCCTAAACTCATGGGAGACATGACCATGAGAGTGAAATACCTGTGACACGCGTGCAATCTGATGTTTATGCATGCAATCTGACGTTTTAAAAAGTTCCCCTTACTGAGTGTACTCAAATTACTGTAAGCATGCTGATCGTTTGCTTTAAATCTGTCTCTGTTTTTTATTCCATATATCGCAAATAAAGCAAAATATAAACTTAATGTTTGTTTAAATTTTTTTTTTAAACAACACTCACAGGACATTATTGTTAACAGGTTGCATGCCAAATTTCAACAGCTTACACCGAACAGTTACTAAGTTAAAGATTTTTAAAGCTCGGCAGGATTTATGGAACTCACTAGAAAACTACCTGGTATGAATGTACAGGTGTGGCGTGACCTTCACTTCCTAGATAATCATACGGGTATGACTTGACAATGTTGTATCAATTATTTCTACTTGCCTGACACAGAAGGACAGACTAAAACAATAATGCTTCTACTGCCTGTACTTGCTCCATGTGTGAATTCCGGGGCCCCAATGTGGGGAAAACAAGAACAGACGTACTGCATCCCCAAAAGCATGTTGTTCGAGTAAACTAGCAGGAGGGGGGGGGGGGGGGGGGGGGGGCCTCGGGCGAAGGCTTCCTTCGATGTCGGAGTCCATCTGCCTGAGAGGCAAGGAATTACCAATCTGCTTACAAATAAGTCAGATCTGTAAAATAGAAGTGCAGGCAACCCTCAGGTTCAGAAAAAGACTTAAAGTCCAGAGATGGAGAAATAACTGGTGCTTTATTAATATCCTACCCCAAACATGGGAAATCCACAAGTCACGGGACAGTCTAATATTTCAGGGGGTGGTAGATAGGCTGCATACAGTCGTGGGATATAGGCTGCATGAAGTGGTAGGACCTAGGCTGCATTCTCTCGTGGGACTTAGGTGGGTTGGGTTTAGGGCCAGTTCTAGATGTTTTGGGGTCGTTAAAAGCATCAGAAAGCCAGGAAACCCAGTCTTACCACCCTCTAAAATGTTGGACTGTCCTGTGACATCATCTGGGGAAGGATATTAATTAATAAAGCACCCCATAACTTTCTGCCAGAGATCAGCTGGTGAACGCAAAGAATAAGAAAACTGCCTGTATTTATCACCTGTCTGATGTTGACAGGAGTGCGGGGATACAAGGCCATATGGCTAGTGCAGCTGACAGAGACTGTGCAGGTTAGAATTTTATTTTTGTCATCAACAGAAAGAAGAAAAATCATAACCCTACCGAGGATTTGAATCTAGGTCTCCTGCATAAGACTCTAGCCATTTTTAACTATTCTGCCAGCAGCTCCTTAGGCAGACAATCTGACTCTTATTTTTCTTGGTGTTCACTAGCTGTAAACTCCAGGGAAAAGTTCTGATTGTTCATCCCCTTCTGGACTTTGATTCTGCTCCAGAACTTGAGTTTTGTGTGCACACCAGTTTTATAGATCTGGCTTATTTATATGTAGATTGTTGGTTCCTTGCATCTCAGGCAGATGCACTCCAACTTCAAAGGAAACACCCTTACTATGAGTTTAGGAATCATGACTGACGGGCAAGAGTCTTTACACTATCATGCAGCTTCTTAATCTGATTATAAATATAGTTCTATGTCAATTAGTCAGTTGTTAGTTAATCTTTACTCTTGAGCCTAGGGCGGCGCATAAGGCAAACGTCATAGCTCTCATATGTCTGGTGGTTTGTTGCCACCTGTTTAAGTCATGGATGTTCATTATGCCCATGTTTGAGCTTTCCCTGATGATGGTCCTATGCAGGGTCTCTGTTGGTCTTCCTCATTTTCTTCTCCCTTCAGGGGTGTCCATATGAGGGCTTCATGGGGAAGTCTCATCTTATTCTGAGTGCATGGCAGATGTAGTTCCAGCGGCACTTTCTTATAAAACTGGAAACGTTATCTTGCTTGGTCTCTTGTCTTATTTGAGTATTGGATCTTAAATCTGTCCAGCGGAGATTTTAGTAGTCTTCTAACACATCTGTTCTCAAAACTGTCTAATCTTTTTTTTTAGCTTGAGCTACGATCGCTTTCCAACTCTTGCATCCATAAGTTAGCACTGGAATCACATAAGAGTTGAAGATCTTGAGTTTTGTGTGTTTACTAAATGTCTCTGACGC